AAAGGAGAGAGAGGAGGAATGGGACCAGCCAATCAAGAGAAGAGGAAATGAAGGGAAATGAGGGAGAAGAAAAGAGGGAACCAAACCCCTTTTTGGCCCGCGACCTGACCCGGCGGGTTCCATGGCCTCAAACTCCATTCCCAGTGATTTTCCGGTGAATTGAAGTCATCCATCACCTGGAAAACATTCCATTATCCTCCCTCTTCCTTTTCCCACCTAAAATTATAATGAATTTGGTTTTGTTTTGGGGAAAAATACCCCGACGAGAACCGTGGGTGACGCAAAGACCCTTGGCCGAGATCCACCAAATTTGAAACGATTTCATGCAATTACCACCACCATTAGACTCCCTTTGAACCCAAGAACAAATCCCAAACAACCTTGGGGGCGGCGGAGCACTGGTGGATCGAAGCCACCCATTTCTAGGGTTTCCGGCAAGTTTGAGGGAATTGGAGCTTTTCCCAGCCAAATTGGACTTGGCCACAAGTATAAAACTTACTATACTCATTGAGATTTTCATTTCTGTGAAATTTGAGAATATTTTGAAATAGTTGAATTTTTCCGCGACTCAGGGCGGTGCGTGGCGGCGGCGCTTGGGCTGAGACCCCATCTGCCTTTCCTAGACTAATGTGAAAACCCTGATTCCATATGTGACATTCTATTGACAAAATCTCGTCGTATGACTATAGTTTTGATAAGAACCTACACTTGGACATTATATGAATCAATGATCTGACCATTGGATCGTCACAAAACTTTATTATGTAATGTGATTTACAGATCTTCCAGTTTATATTTCTAGGGTTGTGAACCCTATCCTTGATCTTGATCAACGGTTGACTTTTTATAGTCAACCAAACCGAGTTTCAAGGGTGCCGTTTATCTTAGAGTGTTGCTGACATTTCATGAAGCTTAGTGGGCTCATTGCGACGACGGGTGTCTTGTTTTACATATGAGTGACTATAATATAGGTGATTTATATTGAATTGTTATTTTATTTTATTGTCATTGATCTACGTTTGTGAATTATGAACTACGATTGGCTTGATCCTCCAAAGGGTACGTAGGGAGTCTAACGAGAAGTTAGATGCAGCCATAAAATAAATGAGATAAGTTTTAGTGGAAAATCATCAAATTGAGAAATGTTAGAATGGTTATTAACATAAAGGGTAACTACGACATTTTTAGCCTACCACTAAGGGTAAATTAGGAAATAAATTGGCGGGGCGTTACATTAGATATCTGTTTCTTTAACTTCTTCTTCTTCTTCTTCTTGCCTTCTTCGTTCTAGCTTGCCAAACTCATGGTTCATCAATCTCTTTCTATCTATCTTTAATTCTCTCTCCCCCTTTTTCTCTATGTCTGTATCTAAAGAACCAAAAATTTAGTTGGTCTCTTTGATTTAACTTTGCGCAAAAAATTTGAATAGAATTTTTTTCTTTCCGGCATTGACATTAATAGTGATGAAATCGAGACAAACATTGTAGATTTGTAGTTTAAATATCTGTTTCTTAAATTTAGGAAAAATAAATGGAAATGAAGGGGAGAGAGAATAAATGGAAATGAAGGCTATGGTTCGTCTTTGCCCCCCAAGTTCTTGAGAAAATACCTCAATGGACTAGGGCAGTTGTGTGCATTGGCCTTGACAGTTATTGTTTGTAATGTTCTTTCTTAAAGAATTGTCTGTCAATTTATAGTTTTCGATATTTGACTATTAAGAAAGTCGATTTATAGTATCTCTCTCTATGATCTTTGGATGGGGAATTTCGTAGTTATATTAATTTTTTATGCATGTGAATAGATTTTCTATTCTGTTTGCTGATGAATTCTTAATTTAATTTTACATTATATTTTGTTGGGTTTAGGATTTTGTTTACTGGGAAACAAAATGAGTCCAGAGCATTTCACCATCATTGCTAATACTGAGGGCGACCTCCGTCATCATGGTAATATGAGGTGGACCGGAAAAGTCGGGAAATTTATAGATTCTTCAATTGAAAGTGAAAAGACTATTTAGTCTTCTATCACAATAGAAAAGTTAAGAGGAGTAACATAATTTCACAAATCAAAATTTTACTTTTTTTTAGTGAATACATTTTTTTTTTTGTTTAAGCCTCATCTACATGTGATTTTAACATCTCTAATTTTAAAAAATTAAAAATAAATAAATAAATCGCTCTCCCTCTCTCCCCACTCTCACATTCTCTCTCTTCTTTTCTGCTTATAGTCTAGTGGTATTCCTCTTCACTTATAATTGAGAGGTATTAGTTTCGATTCTTGCCAATTACATATTCCTGTATTGTATCGTATTTCCGTGTCCATGTCCATATCCAATGCAACGTAGATACCGAGTTTCCTCTTTTAAATTCGCCCTTTCCCTCAGTTATTTCTGGCTCTGCCACTGTTAGTAGTTGAGTTACTCCCTATATTACCAATTAGTTTTAGGAAAATTTTATTTGAATTTTGAACCTATCTAACCTCTTTCTACCCCCAACTTAAATTTTAAATGTGAAACGTCTTTAATATTATTGCATAATTACCATCAAGTACAAAATAAAATTAACAAGAAAAATAAGATTTATCTATAAACCCACACCCAAAGTGAAACCCTAACCATCACATAAATTTTCTCCTTTGTTCTGCTATGGCAAAAATCCCAAGACACTCTCATAGAGAAAAACAACCTCTTTTTGATGGATAAATATTAATTTTGAAGTTTTGGATCCTCTAACTAAGGCATGAATTAGTTTACACAAGAGTTGAATTATTGGTTTATATGTCATATACTAACATTATGATTGTTGCGAGCTGTATAATTTTCCAAGTCTTTTCTTGTTCATTTTGGACAATATTTATCAAGTCTTCTACTTAATTTACATAACATAATCATGACATCCTACTTTCTTTTATTGGATAACAACAGCTACATACTTTGTTTCATTGTTTTCACATTCTTCCCATATCTTTTCATTTGATTCTTCACTTCACCCCCATTCTAACTCTCTTCATTACACCACCACTTTCACTCTCTTCATTGCACCGCCTTCTTTTGGTTAATTTTCTTTGCCCGTTCTTCTAAAATTCAAAAAGATGATAAAAAAAAAATTATGTATATATCAACGTTTATATTTCCCCGTTTTCATTTGTCTTAAATTATGTCATTGCACCTTCGTCTTGGTTTTAATTTGCAATTTTATTCCCTAAAGAACATTACTTATTACAAGAAAAAGGAAAAAGAAACAAAAGACTTCTTATCATTTCACCTATAACCTATATATGCTTATAGGTTATAACTTATAAAAGTCTTTATATCATCTAAAACATAAAAAACTCAAATTCATATGCAACATACATTGTCAAGCAAGACAACCAGAGATTATCGAGCAACACTGTAGAGGATGATCAAAACTCCATAAAAAACAAATGTTGGAAGGAGAGAACGTCAGATGAGAGAATGCTTTGATTTTGATTTTTTACTTTATTTTTCAAATGGATGTAAAGATAAGTTAACATATATATTGAATTGCATTCATAGGGGTAGTTTAGGTTGTAAAATTAGGTTTAAAGAGATATTGATTGTTTAATTGAAAATAATATGGATGTAAAGAGTAAGGTAGGTCTAGAGAAACATTATATGAGTTCAAATAAAATTTCCCTTAGTTTTATGATGAAACCCAACTCTAGCAGGTTTCTTCGAATAGGAAAAGAAAAATCACAAAGAAAATCCTTGGGTAAATTACACAAAACTACCTCAACTATAGGTCGAACCACAATCTCATACCTCATGTTTTAAAAATTACAATGTCATACCTCATCTTACGAATTTGTTACAATGTCATACCTCCGTCAATTTTTCTGTCAATTTCTCTGTTAAATGCTGACGTGGCTTGAGGCAGAGCCTACTTCCTAATTCATCTGGATTAAAAAATTAATTAAATATTAAAAAAACTAAAAATACAATTATTTAAATATTTTTATAAAAATAATGTGGGACCCACCCACCTTCTTCCTATCCCACCCGTCTCCCCCCACCCTTCCTCCATTCACTCCAAAACCAGACACCCACCGTGACTCTCCCCCGCCCTCATCCTCCCCACTCGATAGTCTTCTCCACCCAGCCACCTCTGCCAAATTCCAATAAAGTCTTCCCACTTTTGCAACTCCCAAAAAACCCCTAAATGCCCCTCAAATCCTAGACTAATTACTTCCTCCTCCAACTCTTTTCTTCTTCTCCTATGGGCTCTAAGAATCAGGGCTCCGACGAAGCCCACCCCCTTCCTCCATCACCCACGCCATATTTGCCTGAGCGTAGTCCTAGTCTCTACCATCTACATTCCGATCAAGCCATTCCCCTCAATGCCAGTCCTCCCCTACGCCCCCTCTGCTGCTGCACCTGCCACTCCGTCCTTAACCCCTTCTCCACCGTCGATTATGCCGCCAAGATCTGGATCTACCCTTTCTGCTTCACCCGCAATCACTTCCCTCCCCACTACGCCTCCATCTCCGACGAGAACCTCCCTATCGAAAAACCCACCTCACCTTTGGTTTTATTTTCGTCGTCGACACCTGCATAATCGAGGAGGAGCTTTCGTTTCTCAAGTCCACTCTATCTCAGGCTCTTAGTCTCCATCCCCCATATTTGGAGATGAATGAGTAGGCGAGTGATGAGGGATGGGGGATTATTGGGTTCAGAGGATTTTTGGGTCTGGTTGCTTAGAAGAAGAAAGGGGATTTTTGGGAGAAGGGGGTGGGTGATGGGGGCTCTGGTTTTGGTGGCGAAGGAAGGTTAGGAGTGAGGGGACACTAGTGGATAGGGAAGAAGTGGGGATGGGTTTGTAGGGGTGGGTCCCCCATTTAAAAAAATTATTAAATGATTTTATTTTTTTAGTTTTTAATATTTAATTAATATTTTAATAGAAAGTAGGTTTCGCCTCAAGTCACGTCAGCATTTAACAGATAAATTGACGAAATGTATGACATTGCAATAAATTCAAAGATAAGATAGGATATTATAATGTAAAGATGAGTATGAAACTACGATTAGCCCAATAGTTGAGCTAGATTTCTTTGTTTGAACTTTTTTGTTACGAGGACGTTCATGTACAGAGGGACCATTCTCTGAAAGCAGAAGCAGAGAGAGAGATAAGGAAGTCGTGTATAAATATATAAATGCAGTTTCTAAAAGACGGTCTTACATATCACGTCCAAGCCATAAAAGCCAGTTTTGAGCTAACCATTTTCACCTCCAATCAACTCATTCACTTGTACTCCAAGCATGGCCTTATTCGAGAAGCCCAGAAACTGTTCGACGAAATGCCCCAACGAAACGTCTTCTCTTGGAATGCCATAATCTCCGCCCACATCAAGGCACGCAACTTGAACCGGGCACGCCAGTTATTTGACGCTGCCTCTTACAGGGATTTGGTCACGTATAATTCCATGTTGTCTGGTTATGTAAGCGCCGACGGGTATGAGGATTGTGCGCTTGAGCTGTTTCGCGAAATGAAGTCACGGGATGATCGGATTCGGATTGACGAGATTGGTCTCACGACTATGCTGAACTTGACTGCCAAATTGGAAATTGGGTATTATGGGAGACAGTTGCATTGTTTTATGGTGAAAACTGCTAATGATTTAAGTGGGTTCGCAGTGAGCTCGCTTATCGATATGTATAGTAAATGTGGGTGTTTTCAAGAAGCGTTGCGGATGTTTAGTGGGTATAGAGGGGTGGTTGATTTGGTTTCGAAAAATGCAATGGTGGCGGCTTGTTGTAGAGAAGGCAAATTAGAAATGGCAGATGATCTGTTTTGGACAGAGCCAGAGCTGAATGATGCTGTGTCTTGGAATACACTGATTGCAGGGTATGTGCAGCATGGTTTTGAGCAAGAGGCACTGAAATTGTTTGTCTGTATGGCAGATAATGGATTCAGATGGAATGACCACACTTTTGCTAGTGCTTTGAGTGCTTGCTCCGGTTTGAAGAGCTCCAAACTTGGAAAGGAAATCCATGCTTGGGTCTTGAAGAATGGGATGACATCAAATCCGTATATAGTCAGTGGCATTGTTGATGTCTACTCCAAGTGTGGTAATATGTGTTATGCAAAGTCAGTTCACGTAGCAACGGGGTCAGAAAATTCCTTTTCGGTAAGTTCAATGATTACTGGTCATGCTTCTCATGGTAACCTAATGGAAGCACGAAAACTTTTTGACTCATTGACTGAAAAAAACGCTGTTGTTTGGACAGCTTTGTTTTCTGGGTATCTCAAATACCAGAAATGCGAAGCTATATTTGAACTTTTAGGTGAGTTCACGGCAAAGGAATCAATAGTTCCTGATGCTGGGATTCTCATCAGTGTGCTTGGTGCCTGTTCAATACAAGCAGCCCTGGATCCTGGGAAGCAGATCCATGCTTACATTCTAAGGAACGGGATTGAAATCGATAAGAAGCTTTTTAGTGCTTTGGTTGATATGTACTCGAAATCCGGGAGTATAAACTACGCAGAAAAACTTTTTAAAAGCGACTATGACAGAGATATAATCCTGTACAATGTGATGTTAGCTGGTTATGCTCACCATGGGCATGAAAATAAAGCTATCCAGATTTTCAATGAAATGTTGGAGAAAGGTATGGGACCCGATGCAATCACCTTTTTAGCACTGCTGTCAGCTTGTCGACACTCTTGCTTGGTGGAATTGGGTGAGCAGTTCTTCTACTTGATGGAAAAAGTGTATAATGTTTTACCCGAAATTGAGCACTACGCTTGCATGATTGATTTGTACGGGAGGGCTAATCAACTTGATAAGGCAATAGCATTCATGAGAAAGATCCCTATAGAATCAGACACCATTTTATGGGGGGCATTCATGAATGCTTGTAGGGTAAACGGGAACGCCGTACTTGCTAGAGAGGCAGAGGAGAAACTATTAAAACTTGAAGGAGACATTGGTGATCGGTATGTACAGTTGGTTAATTTCTATGCAGCGGAAGGAGATTGGGATGAGGTTTGCAGAATAAGGAAGAAGATGAAAGGGAAGGAGGCCAAGAAGACCGCTGGTTGCAGTTGGTTATACGTGGAAAATGGTGTTCATATATTTATCTCTGGTGATAAAGCCCACCCAAGAGCAGAGGCTATAAATTGTACATTAGCCTTATTGACTGAAGAACTGTATCAGATATCTCGGGCCTCCGCTGGGATCATAATTTGAATGTCATCGTCTCAACACAACTAATTATGATGTTCAGAACATTCAGTCACTAAATCAGATATAGGACTGGTATTTCCATGCCGTCCGCATTCATTCATTTCAGGAGGTAGGCACATGCACACTTGGATATCGTTTACCCTATAGTTATTAGTTATATCTTCTTTTGTAAGAGAAGTACACTCTGCATTCGAGCATATTTATGACATTTATGACAAAGGACACTCTTTTTTTCTCTTGGCCTGAGACAATCAATCTACTTAATTCCATTCCCCACAATGACTTGTGTGCTACTTAGACCAGTCCTTGGGGCTGCGTTACCATATAACCAGTGTAAGTGGCAAATAATTGATATATGAAACGAACAACACTTTTTCGTTTGAAGTGCAATGCTTAAATGCAAAAGAGAATACAAATGTTTGGGATCCTTCACTGTTACTTCTTGATTCTGTTTATACCTGTTTCATCTTATGTGTTTTCTGCAGAATAATGCATTTATTGGTCAAGTGCCTGGGTACAGACTCCAGAGTACCATTAGTGGATGCCAATTAGCGCATATGAATTGAATTTGGCAATGGAATGACAATGGTATTATTGTTCCTTCATCTTGGTGGAAATGCTTGAAGAGTGATGACTGAGAGCAATTCTATAACATGGAAAAATCCAATGCGGCAGAAAAATTTACGATGGCGTGGTGGGAATAACCCCATTCACACCCTAAGGAGACACTGACAAGCTATCTTCCTTCTGTAGACGCTGGGGACATTCACAACTGATTGGAAGGAGCAGGTAATGCTTTCTTGTGTCGTTTACTTGTTCTCTTTGTAGGCATGGTCTTCTGTTCATGAGAATATCAATGTTGTTTATTTTCCAACTGTAAAGTTCCAATCCGCCTTCCCCGTTAATTCAAGAAAGTAAAAACGTAACACTTTGGACAATACAAGTAAATAATTTATTCTGTAAAACCGTGGAATTGTGAATTTACAAGTTGAATCGGTTTAAATTGTTGTCAATCAGATGGAAATTTTCAGTCGAGAAACCTTGTCAATCTTTGTTTCTGCTATGTCGTTACATCAGAGTTGTCAAGACCAAGGGGACATCATTTCTTTAACAAATAGTAATTGTAAATGCTGATGTATTTAAAGATGATAGCTAGCTCCCATCTCTTCACTTCACTACAACCAAACTCTGATACTCCTAAACCGCGATGGCTGCTTTCATGGCGTCCTTCGGGAGAAGATCCGCGTCATGTTCCAAGAATAACTAAAGCAAATTGTAGCTGAAGCCACCCAACAATTTGCGCCCTTGTTTTGTTGAAGACACCAACGTTGCTGGATTCCTCAGCTCCCAAAACGGAACTTCTGGCACCACATCGCTGTTGCCGTTGTCCTCAAACTTTCTCTGTATTGCCGCATTACTGTGCCTCCAGAAGAAATCAGTGCGGTTCTCCTTGACCTCAGATTTGTTGGAAATATGCTCTGAAACTCAATCATAAGTTGACATCTTTCAGGAAAACGAAAAATGCAGAAAACGAAAAACGCAGAACAAAAATTTAGCTTAAATTCTGTTGAACATCAAATTGATATTTCCTTTGTTTTTCAAACCAATTTGCAAAATAATTAAAAATAAAATTTGTATGTCACCACTACCGTCACCATCGTTGCCACCACCGCCACAAGATTCTCTACCGTTTCATCATCCTTGCCACCGCCACCATCTTTGACACTACCACTTCACCTTCATGACCATTCCTCCGCCTCCCTCACCCTTGACACCATGGCTATCACCACCTCCATCGACTCACCATTGCTACAACCAACACCACCGTCACCATTTCACCATGACCACGATCACCTGCATCTCGGCCTCTACCATTGTCCCCACCACTACCATCGTATATCCATCACCATCACCCTGCCACCACCACTAATATCAAACTGAGAATAATTTGGACTAAAAATAGACTGTTGGGCCTGTCCAAGGCTCAACACACCGAATTATGTCTGAAGCTTAATGGGTAATTAATTTATGCAGAAGATCAACGGTGCACGATCCAAAATTTAAAAATGCTTTATGACGTGGCAATTGTAGGTGGCAAAAAGTCTCTTTCACACAAAGGGAATATTGCTTAGTCAAGTTTCATAGAGAAAAAGTACTTTCCAGTCGCAAGTTCGTAGTTTCAACGGGATAAAAGCTCAAGTATCCAAGTGAAAACTCACCCTCTGATAGCAATCACATTAGCCACTTGGATCAAGGAGAATGAACTCAAAGGAGAAACGTTTACTCTAGAAGAAAGAGGTGTTTCTAGAAAAGGCAATAGAAATGAAGAAGAAAATGATACACAATTCAACATACAAAAAATTTCAAATCTTTGCAGCCTACTTCCTCATTATATTTATAGCTTTGCTACTTTCTTCGCAACATCGATTTCTTTTACTGAATTTTCTTTCCCAAATACATCTTGTACTTGCAAGAACTTGCCCAACTGGCTTTGCCCAAATAGGTTTAAATCGTGCTCGATTGCTTGTATTTATTATTTATCTTCAAGTTATTTACCTTTTAAACATTTAAACATGCCTTTTACGTTTCATCAATGTGAATACTTTGTTTTCCAAACTAATGTGTCTTGTTTTCTATCTTTACATTTACATGAGAATTGCCAACTGGCTATAGTTCGATCAATATTTGTAGTTCTCCCTTGGTATCAACATAAAGAAAATACAAAGCCCTTGTCACCAGACATAGAAAAGAACTTAACATATTTAACCGCTCTATGGCATAATCCTTTTGATAATGAAGTTGAATTACTTGTGGCGCAAAAAAGCAACTTGAAACAAATAACCAATCAATCTGTTAGTCTTGGTCAACAGTGACACGCCTAACAATCACCAACTCATTTAAGAGAGCATGAAGGCCTATTCAAGGCTTGTCAAAGACAACGTTAAACTGACACAGAGTTCCAACACTGGCATGGGGAGTTATGTCGCCAACAAGAATCATGTAGTAGGTGGTACATGAGTGATTTGTCACTTGGAGGAGGTCGACAGCGACGCCTCTGCTAACAGGATAGCACCTTTAAGGCTCTGTATTCTTTCTCCGCATCGTCTCGAGCTTTTCTCGACCATATCCAGTTGAGAACACGTTGAGAATTTCTAGCACCTACTCAAGTCTTCTCGAGCGTTTTTTGGAGGACATAGTCATTTGGTGGAGAAAAAGATGTAGAATTATCAGAGAAATAGGCCGAATACCCACTTCCAACAACATCAATATTGTCCTCAATTTGGTAATTACCACCTGCACAATCCATCAGGTGTGGGGTTTTATCACAAAAGGTCTCGATAGTAGTTAAAGTGGGCTTAAGATATTTAAATTATTACTTATCATTTACTACGGCTGATGTGGGATTTAACACGCCCCCTCACATAGGATCCAATTAGTGGGTCACATGTGGAAAATTCACACATCGGCAATCACGTGGAGTCAAGGGGACTCACCCTACATGTAGGGCCAAGGGACCCACCATCATTGTGCGGAGCCAAGGGGACCCACCCATCACGTGGAAGTATGTACGAGCCCACTCCTAGGCTCCGATACCATATAGAATTATCAGAGAGACGGGTTGAAGGCTCACTTCCAACAACACCGATACTATCCCCAACTTGGTAATTACCACTTGCATAATTCATCATGTGTGGAGTTTTATCACAAAAAACTTCGGTGTTAATTAAAATAGAGTTAAAATATTTAAACTATTACTTATATTTTACTATGACCAATGTTGGATTCAACAAAAGACAAATATAAAAATTGAATATGGCGATGACGTTAGTTGTATTTGGACTAGGGCGAGTGAGAGAGAGAGAATTGGAAATAGTTGGAGATGGCGGCAATGAAGCTCTATGTAATTCTCTAAAGCTTTAATGTGGCACTAGTAGTTTAATAGGGATTGATAACATGCTTATTTCTCAATAGTAATACATTATATAATTTATAGTCATGATTTAAAAAATTGATCTAACTAGCATTACTTTGGATAAAAAGGAGGAATGTAGTTCTCTAGGTTGGTTTTTCTAAGGAGGAGAGAGAATTGAAACCTCAAAGTTATTTTTAGTCTTTTTACATGTCAAAGAAATCAAAAATCTAGCAAGAGAAATGCCAAGAAGAGTCTCTCAAATGTGAGACTCTCTGGTACCTCATATTTTTCGCATAGTCTTCGTGACCATATTATAAAGGGAACTTTAACGAAAAGCACCTGGTACTGTTCACTTTAACGAAAAACCACATTTTTACACTAAAAAGTCAATCATGGTACTATTCACTTTACCATTTATTTTGTCCTTATCATTAAAACTCAAAGTTTTCAAGCCCTTTTCATTAGTTTTCCTTATTATAAAACAATGTGTCAAAAACATAAAGTGACTTAGACCAACTCCAAAGGGGATGCCAAATCCTAAGTGGAATGCCATGTAATAATATTTGAAGGCAGATATAAGTTCCAACCGATATGCCAATCCTATGTGGATTTGACATACCTGTTGTGTGATGCCAAATTTGACATATGAGAAAATCTGATGTCAAACAATTTTTTAAATATTTTCTTGTGTGGGTCCTAGTAATGTACCAATGATAAATTATTACAATTAGTTTTTTTTTTTAATAAACGATATTATTTACACTAAGGGGATGGAAGAGTGTGATAAGCCTCACAATGAGATAGCAATAATATGGTTCAAATTCTCCTTTGGTGATAATCGAACCTAAGATCTCTCACTTACAAGTGAAGAGGAATATCACTAAACCGTAGTCCTAAGTGGTTGAAAATTAGTTCTTATTTATTTGTTTTGAAGAGCGGTTATGGGTTGGAGCAAAAGAAAATTTGACATTGCCACAGAAACGTTCAATTTTATATCTGACATGTTTTTATTGACATCTCCATTGGAGATGCTGAGGCTTAGACCTACTACAACCCTTAGAGTAAAACTCAAATTTTAGATTCTAAAACTACCCTAACTTGCTCCAACCCTTGGACCAAATATGAGTTTTAACACAGAACTCATTTTTTGACCAAATTTAGCCTAAAATTCCCCTGGGTTAGTGGGCTGACCCACCATATATGTTTTTTTTTAGTTTTATATTTATAAATTCATTGAATCCAATTGTTAAGATCTAATATGATCAAATCTAATGATAAAAAAATAAAAAATTAACGGTCCAAATTTAAATCTAAAGGCTAAAATAATTATATATTTTTTTCTTCATGTTTTTCATATTCTTTCATAGTGTTCCACGAGTTTTATAGTGTCCGTTTAGTTATTTTTTTTAATATTTATTCAGAATTTAAATATTTTTAGGTTAATATGTTGATAAAATTAAATAAGGATAGTCTACATAATTTTTGTTTTAAAAAAGTTACTTTAAAGAGGATAATTTCATTCTCTAATAATTTAGAGAGAAAAACTATTTTTAGGTTAAAAATTTAAGGGTAAATCTCAGTTTACTACCCTCATGTTTCATGGTTTTCAACATTTAGTACATTAAGTTTTTTTCGTCCCAAAGTCATACTTAAAGCATTAATTTTGGAACAGTCTTATACATCTGTTAGTCAAATTATTAAGTTTGTCGTTAACTGATGACGTGGTGCATATGTGGACAATGACTGGGCGCCACGTGTCATTAAAAATATTAAAATAAATAATTAAATAAAAGTATTTGTAAACACGAAAATTCCTGAAATGAACGAGACAAGAACACGTGTACAAAATAATATTTTGTATTAATGATTTAGGGGTTATAATCTCTCTCAAATTTGATCATCTGATTCGATCTTCGTAAGGTGTTGATTTGTGAATTGTGATGCTGATCCAAGGGTCGTCGAGGCTTGATCTCAGATGAATGGTTGGAAGTTTCTTCAAGGGGGCCTTTTGGGCCTGATCTTGAAGGTTGATGGATGAAAGGATCTTTAAGGGCTTTTGGGCTTGATCTTGAAGAACTGTTGATGAACGGATCTTTAAGGGGCCTTTGAGGCTTGATCTTGATGGTTGATGGATGAACGGATCTTCAAGGGCTTTTGGGCTTGATCTTGAAGAACTATTGATGAACGGATCTTCAAGGGCTTTTGGGCTTGATCTTGAAGAACTGTTGATGAACGGATCTTCAAGGGCCTTTGGGGTTTGATCTTGATGAACAGTTGATGAATGGATCTTCAAGGGCTTTTGGGCTTTATCTTGAAGAACGGTTGGATGTGTGGATTTGTTGATGTTGTTGATCCAAAGGGTCGTTGGGGCTTGATCTTAGGATGAACGGATGATGAACGATGAACACTTTCTTCAAGAGCCGTCGGGGCTTGATCTTGAATTGGTGGAAGTTCCTTCAAAGGGCCGTTGGGGCTTGATCTTGAAGGTTGGGTTGACGAAGAACGAAGAGAGCTTTCTTGATCATTCGGGATTTACTTGGGAGCTTTGGAGTTTCAAAGCTTTAAGGTTTTGGTGTGAGGTGAATTGGTTATGAATTGGTTCCTTAAAATGAATGAAATGGCTTCTATTTATAGAATTTTCCAAAGTCTAATTTTGAATATATTATTCAGATGAAATAAATCGTTTCTGCCAGGTGTTGACACGTGTCCTGTTTGATGACTTTTCTGATGATTCTCGATTTTTCGTTGAGTCACCTGCTATGTGTAAAATTTATGTGACACATGAATGTTGAAATTTTAATTATTGATCAACATTTATTTCACCGAAATTTCGATGTCTACAGTATTTAAAAAAAAAACCCTACCCCCACACTCTCTCCCTCCCTTCATTAGTGCAAAAGCTTGGATCTTCCACTGAGGTAAAAGCTTACTGAAACCACATACACATTCAAACATCAAATCTTTCAAGAAATTAAGATAGAGATAGAGAGTCAGAAAGAAGAAAGAGAGAAAGAGAGTCCTTTGACACCATCGACAATGTCAAGGCCAAGATCCAAGCTAAGGAGGGCATCCCCCCGAACTAGCAGTGCCTCATCTTCATCGACAAACAGCTCGAGGACGCCCGAACCCTCGTCGATGGATATGGAGATGGAGGGAGGGAAATCGAGGATGGAGATGGTGGTGAAGGTGAATCGGCGTCAAGTTGCAACAATGGAGTCGGTGAAGGCTCTAGTAGAGAGGAAGAATAAACGGTAGTGGTGAATTGGACTAGAAGGAAAGCGAGAAGCAAAGGCGAGAGAAGTTTGATGAACCTTGACATTGTCGAAGGAGAAGGAGGAGGTGTCAACTCGAGGTGTTTGTTTCCTGAGAAAATGTGGATCGGATAAGAAAGTGAGAAGAGAAGAAGTTGAGATTTTGGGAAGTAGTTTTGAAATGGAGTGGAGAAGATCTGAATTTGAAAAGATGAGACCTCGGGAGAAGGGAA